CCCCCCACCCCTTCCTGCTTACCTTGGCTAAGCCGCTTTGCATGTTGATTGGGGGAGGGCTAATCCAGTTTGCAGCTGTCGTAGACCAATGATGAATCACCTTTCCGTCATTTGGCTGTGCTCCCCTCGCTCAGGGAGGAGGGAGGACCTGGAGGAGGAAACAACAGTGGAGTAGGGCTGCGGCTCGGAGAGAGACAATGTGCGCCTCTGTTCCCCCCTCGAGCCCTCTCTTCCCATTCTGCTCCAGAATCACAATAATGTTTTCTCAGACAAGCCTTTTTGTGTCGTGGATGGCTCTGGACTGTGACATCGAGCTGCAATAACAAGGAGTGACATTGTTTCTGCTTGGGGCAGGTGGAGGCAGAATACAGAAAGGGAGTGTGGTTTGTGAGGACTCAAAGCCATCTAGGTCCAGGTAAGAGCACAGTTGAGCCAGTGCCAGCAGCATCAGAGACATGTAGCTCTCTGCGCGGCATCAGAGATTGCCTTAGACACTCTGCTAAACAACTGTCAGCTTCTCTTTTGTGTTGTCTGATTTGCGGTATCAAAAGCTCTTTAGCCATCACCTAATGAGAAAAAAGTTTGGGCAAAGGAGGAGAGAACAGGATTAAGTAGTGAGTGTGAAATGCAGTAATAGGATTAGTTTATTTTAGACGATCCTTAATTATCCTTATATTTGTACCTCTGTGTTGTCGTATGCTTGGAGGGTGTGATATTTTTAGGGTAGAAGTAAATGAATATTCTTCTGGGAAAAGGACAATGCAGCTTGCATTATTGGAGTGTGTGTGAGACTGACTTAGCCTTTTCATTGCTGTTTTTTATCATTCATATTTTTTTATAATTTATATGTTCGTCTTTTTCTGTTTGTAAATATATATTTTTTCATTAACAAGTAAATTGGACTTGAACCACAAGAAAGGACTATATTTGCTGAGCTATACTGCAAAATATCATAATATCATAACAATATAAAACCATCGTAAATAGAGTAAATGCATATCATAATTTAATCTTTTTATCTCATAATTCTGGTTTCTTCGTGCCATCTGATAGCACTCAGACTACTCAGAGTTACTTGAGCATTTATCTTTGTGGCCTTGTGTAAAAGGCCGATGTGTATCGATAGCAGAGATACCCAGAGTCCTGGAATATAATTGGAAATGGCAGTATAATGTACAAAACATTTTGTCCTAATTTCATTAACTTACTATTGCAATGGGAACAGTGGCAGAGACAAATGGGGTCTGGAGTTTGTGGCCGTACTTTTCAAATCACTCGTGCCTTCTCTCTGCTCTATTGTCTATACTCGATCAAATCCTTTGAGCGCACAAATGAGAAGATAGAATAATGTTTTCAGTGGCGTGGTTTTTTATATAAACACAGAAACAATTAAGGAGCTTGCCAGAGCAAACACATGCCTCATGAGCTTCTCATCTGCCCATCACTGAGGCATGGGCTCTTACAATCAAGTGCTGCACTTTTAACAGGCACATTAAGCATCGCCTCAAACCAGCAAACATCTGTTAACAGTCTTAGATACCACACAAAACGATATACACTTAAGGCCATTTTTGCTTTAAGATACATTGGAGTAAATTGACAGTAAACACTTTCTGTTCACGTCGTGTAAAACAGCAAGTTGCAGTGAGATTGTTGTAATGAGAGAAATCAGAAACGTCATGTCAAAATGTTAAGTATTCATTTCATAGCTCGCAGTTCCACTTTTCTTTCCTCTGTGCATACAGTATGTGAGAGAGAAGTGCGTGTGTGCGTTGCTTGTGTAACATTTTGCCTTGTACAATTCTTCCATTTTGATCTGTTAACTGTGTCCTTGTCATTTGGCATTACATTAAAATGTCATTATTTTATTTATAATCAAAAATATAACGTGAAATGTAGTCCTTAGTAAAATTGCAATGAATTGTAGATTTTAAATGTAATTTCAATAGAATATTTTACTACTCAGCAACTCATTTATAATACTTTTTTTTCCGTTTTTTTTTACTTTGTATTATCGACACTATTTTATTCAGCTAAACCTGGACTGCTGGATTATGCACATTGTGTACACTGCATTATATAGCAGAGCAATGTGTCTTCCCTGAAACCAGAGTGATATGGGTAATTTGATTTGGTGTGTGCATTTATGTGTGTGTGTGTCTCTCGTCAGGTCTATGGAAATGCAGGATCTAGCCAGTCCTCACAGCCGAGTAAGTGGAAGCAGTGAATCTCCTAATGGTCCCAACCTCGACAACTCCCACATCAATAACAATTCCATGACACCCAATGGCACTGAAGGTATGTGTATGCTGTTGCTCTTTGATTGCTCTCTCTGTCTTGTATTCTATTCTACATTTAAAAAAGGGCTGAGAATGGTGATAGAAACTGTATTGTAACATTCAAAGTGAAGTTGAACTTTTAATCTTAAAATAATTCAGTGTGGTTAGCAATAAAGTTAATAGAAGTGTTGTGTCAAAATTATTTTTTCTAGGGTGAATCACCAATACTTTTTGCAAAACAATAGAAAGAATGTAATTCATAATTGTGGGTTGCACTGTAGATTATTTTGGACCATACAGACTATTTGCTGCCATAGCATTCCTAGTTTAAACAATTCAATGCTACCAGCAGTTGTTTCACAGCGACTATTAGTTGTTTATTCAAGTAACCATGTAATTATTCAAAGCCCACAGCATGGAAATGATGGAGTTTTGCATGAAGTTTCGACTGTACATAGTTATTTACTCAGGTGATTCACCTGTGCTTAAACCTGAGCCTTTGTTTAGTGAAGCAGTCATGCACAGGAGTTATTAAAAAAGTCTCCCGTCACGTAATCTTTAGCTTAATATTTGCTTTGAGCTCAGGGTTTATTTTTTGTGTCAGGACCCGTAGACATGGTGCAGACTGTCATGTGTCCCTTTGCCATTCTTTCTTTCCCATAGGTGATAACATCACAATGCTTACCACTGCAGACTGGTTGTTAGGTTCTAACTCACAGTCCGCTGCAGGTTTGTCTACTCTTAGTGACACGATGAAAGGACAATACTTGGTGTTTTCCCCAACTCAACTCAGAATGAAATGAAAGCACTCTTTGTAGTTTTTTAACCACCTCCACTCATGAAGAAATTTAATTTGTTCCCAAAAATAAACTATTTATCAGCTGCAAAATTATAACGTTGCCTCAACTATTGTGCCTTTCATTCCGAAACCCCCTGGTATTTGCTGTAATTGTTGTGGTATTTTGTTTCAAGCATGGTTTGACACGACTACATTTAAGTCCATTGTTAGTGAATGGTCAGATTGTGAACGTGCATACTGTGCATTTTGTTTTCATTTGGACATTCCATGCTGTTCCCTGAATACAGTGGTTATTGTGTGCTCTGTGACCTGTGAGTGTGTGCTAGTTTATGCATGCACCTTACCACTATTTTTTCATCGGTGTGTTGCTCAAAAGAATTGCCCCTCGTCAGCATGTGTTTCTGCACTGAACGAGCATAGCGGAAACATGTAAAACATGACAGCAAATGGCTTCTTCAACCATGAGGGATTCCACTGAGCATGACTCCCTTGCCCACATTGTCAATTTGTTTTGCCAAAAGAAGAAAAAGAAAAAAAAAGAAAGAACAAAATCCTGCAGCTCGCCTGAAGTGAAATGGATTGATTTCAAAGATTCCTGAGCTGTCAGAAAGCTGTGAAATTGTCTTTGCAGATCTATCGCTGAGCTGTATAATGGAGCCAAGGTCAAACAGCGTTCGCTACACTCTTAAAAAGATTTTATACACCGTACATTTCCTTGACATTTCAATTGTACTTGTACATCCCTGCGGAGCTCTTTTTTATTTGTGATTCATGATGTAACTGCTGATAAGTCAGTAATTTATTATTAAATGTAAATGATAATATAAGACTTAAGTATTTTTGGATTAATTAAATATACTGTTGAAATAAACTTTAATTTACATTACTCTCGCAAAATAGTTCAAATGCATTTAAAATATAAATTCATAATCTTTACATAAGGAAATAGCTCAGGCACACTTCTAAATGTAAAATGCTTTTCCACGGTGGAACAATAAGAATCAGCAGTAAAGATAAACGTGTACCATCAGATAAATCCCATTAAAAGAATCAATGATTATACAATACAAAAAAATATATACCTATAACCATTTGAACAGAAACAAATGTAATGTGCAATGTGTTAATAATACATTTGAATTATTGTTAATTATGTTAGAATGAGTCCTTCCTACGTGCAAAGTTTTCCTTTTATTTTATACTAAGCAAATATTTGCTGTATTTTCAAAACATAATTTTGCTGAATGTGAACATTTGAAAGTCTGAGGAAGTTGGACATTAATATGATCTTTGTTATTTTTCTTTTGTTTTTCCAGACTTGATTTGGTGCTTTTGGTGACAATGTGGCTTCTTTGTTTGCAGTTAAAACCGAGCCAATGAGCAGCAGCGAAATCGCCACCTCGGTAGCAGACACCTCTCTAGACAGCTTCTCAGGATCAGGTGAGGTTGGAGGAGGTTGTGTTTGTGTGTGTCTGTGCGTGTGCACTCATGTGTCTGGCTGCCTCTCTCTCACACACACACACAGCTGCAGAACTGATTAGTGAGAGATGAGCCTATAGATGGGTGACTGATAAGCTGGGCCCTAGGAAGTGTCCCTGCAGCTACAACACCTATGGTGTGTGTGTGTGTGTGTGTGTGTGTGTGAGTATTTAAGAACAAGCGACTCTTACCTTACCTTTGTCAGCATATTTATATGCTTTGCTTGCTTGCACGTGTGTGTTGTG